CTGCCCTGGGGCAGCTCCGCAGCACCGTCCCCCCCCGGGGGGACCCTGGGAGGCCGCCTTCTCCACCAGCCCCGACACGGGGACGGGGTAGGTCTCCCAGGCAAAAAGCTTTGCGAAGTTTGACACCGGCCCTAGGCACCATGCTTGCAAGAGCAGCAGCCTTCAACTGAGACCTGAGCAAAAAACCCGAGTAACTTGTTTATTCCATGTTTCCCGCGAGCATAAATAGTAAGAAACCTTCTCTCGAAGCTCTCTCCTTTGCTTTTACGAAAGGATCCTTTTTTTTCTCTCCCTCTGAAAGAACTCGTGTTTTGGAGAAAGTGCCACGCCACGGTGCAATTCTCCCTGAAACTACACTTCGCAATGAAAAACTCGCCGAGAACGCAAATTCCCATCGAGTGGGGACGGTGGGGACCCAGGCAGGGGGAAGACCTGCCCCCCCGGCACAGACCCGGCCCCGGGCGCAGTAACGGCGATGACTGAGCTAAGCAGCCCTGCCTTTTCTTTAACCTTCGGGCAGCTCGGGAAAGGGAGGTCCTCAAAACCCTGAATTGTTACTAATTTTTGTTTGTTTGTTTGTTTTTTAATTTAAACATGCGCACACACACACCCCCCCCGGCATCGTGGAGATGGGCTCACTGCTCACACGTGATGGACAGGGCTAAATATCTGCTTGTTCCTTCCCACCTGTGTACCTTTTATTTCCTTCTGTAGGCAATAAACAGCCCTTTTGCAACCACTCTGGTCCCCTGCTGTGGTTCCTGAGAAGCACGGGGTGGGAAGGAGGGGGACGTGGGGACGGGACGGGCGTTCCACAGCTTGCCGCTGCCCTGGGACGCGCTTTGGGCATCCAGGGTGGCGGGGTGGCTGACACAAATTTGATTCCTACCCTTTTGGGGAGGTCCCCAGACCTCAGACACCTCCTACCAGCATGGCCAAGCCAGATTTTTAAACGGTGGTTAATTTTGCGCGGGGTTGCAAGTCACACCTGCGTCGCCTCGGCCCACGCGGCCAAGGGACGTCCCCGTGCCGTGCCGAGGTCCCCGCAGGACGCGGGAGTCCCTCCCAGGAAAACGGGGGTCTACGGAGAGAGCCTCAGCCAGTCACTGGGCAATTTCCCAGTATCTCCCACTTCTCCTGTGCTTGCACAACTGGGAGCCGGCACCGTGGGGCTGCGGAGGTCAGACCACATCCAACTCCTGCCAGCGTCCCATAGCACGACCCGCTCCTCCCCGGAGCTGTCAGAAAAAGGCACGAAAACTTGGGGCAGAGGAAAGGCGGCGCATTAGGAAGCACCCTGCCGCAAAGCTGCCGAGGGCTTCACGTTGCCACGGTCCGGTCCAACTCCCCCGCCCCAAAAATCCTGTTTTTTTTTTACACAAATCCGTGCAGAAAGAGCTGCCGCGGCCAAGGGGGAAGCACATTCATCCTTTTATTGATGGCGCCCACAACGGGCTGCCGTCGCGTGCAGGAACAGCGCAGGCACCCGAAATGGAGGGCGACGCCAGGCGCCCGAGAGGAAAGCCTTTTTTTGGGAGGAGCGGGGGAAGGCTCCTGCCCCCTGCCAAAACCCCGGGAGCAGAGCAAGCGCCGGCGTTGTGCCACGAAACCTGGCGTATCTCGGCACGGAGGGGTTATATCACTGCTGTCCCCGCAGAGGAATAAATAACCACGGCTGGTTATTTATTATGATATCCAGACAGAGGGAGAGATGGGGCGGGGGGTCTGCAAGGGGGCCGGCACCACCGCTCCGCTTCCCGCCGCGGCCGCCCCGCCGCTTCTTTTTTTGGTGGCGTTCCTGCAGATTTTTGGGGGAGGAAAGAAATGGAAAGAAAGCAGTCAGGAGGAGGGGATCATCCTGCCAACGCGTTTGGTATGCTGCTTGTTTTTCGGTCGCTGGGCGTTGCGTACCTCTGCGTCAGCTTGTGGATGAGCAGCTGGATCCAGGGCGCCTCGGGGGCCACGCACACCTTCTTGTTTTTCTTCAGGGTGAGACTGCAAGGCGACGAGACCCCCTCAGCCCCACGCACGCCTCTTCCCCAAAGTTTTTTCTAACCGCTCCGCCGTCTGCGGAGAAGACCCCTCTTGCTCCCCAGCACGGTTATGAGCACACCCCTACGACCCTTGGGGTTTTTTTGGGGCCTCGACCTCGGCTTTGGGAGCCCCGCCAGGCGTAACCCCCATTCAAACGGGCAGCGGCGTCCCGTGCAACAGCCTGTGCCTTGCAAGAGTCACCGGGAGACTTGGGGGCTTCGGAGAGGGTGCAAGCGCCCGCGTATTTTTGCGCTGGTACACGAGCAAGCGATCTGCAGGAATTGCTTCGCAGGCTTTCCACTTACATGATCTCCTTCCTCCTGCAGTGAATACCTGGCGGCGTAACGTCGATGGCAAGGATCAGCCCCAAGTTGATGACCTGGGCAGTCGATTTGATGCACTTGCACCTCATGTTGGTCAGCAGGCTCTCCAGCGACAGACCTGCGCCCGAGAGCAGCCCACAGCCAGGTCTCGGCCCCCCATGGGGGAGGCAGACAGGGACACCCCCCCCCCCCCACCGCCATCCTCGTGCCACCCTCCCCGTGCCACTGTCCCGTCTCCTCCCCGGCGCCCACGGGGCTGTGTGACGGCGAGCCTGACGCAATGCTAATCCCTCCCGGCACAGTCTTAAAGCTTTCTTTTCTTTAGCTTCAGGGCTTGAAAACTTAACCAACGTTTTCTGAATTAAACCCATCGCCTGCCCACCAAGCACTCGAGTTTCACGGGGGTCTTGAAGAGAAGCAGCTTAAACCCATCAGGCAAATCCCCCCCCGGTCCCTGGCATCCCCCTCCAGCTTAGCCACTGGGTTTAAAAGATAAACTCAAGCTCAAAGATAGGCAAGAGACAAATTTGAAAGCTTAGGGGAGCCCATGCTCAGCCCCATCCGGGGCACCCAGTGCCTCTGCCTAGGGATTTGGAGGGAGAGACGGACAGACGCCCCAAGGTCACTCACCGCCCCCCGGCACCAAGTTGTTCAGGAGCAGGGCCAGGGCCAGGGCTGCTGGCAGCAGACGCAACCTCGCCACCCACCCCGAGCCGCCGTGGGGGTTGCTTTATAGCCAGCCCCGCTGGGGATTTTGCAGGCTGGGAAACGCCGGAGGTTGGAAAGGAGCTGCCCCGCACTTTGACTTCCCTGCCGTCGCTTCCCCCCCGTCGCACGTGGCCCACGCCGCCTCCCCACCGAAAAAGGCAGAAACCACCGCGGCCACCTCCTAAAACCTCCTGCTTGCCCCATGTTTCTCAGTGGAGAAACACCGGTGACCCCCGCTCTGCTCCCCGCCCTGCATGGACTTGCTCCCCCAAGCCCCCCGGCGCACCAGGGGAAGGGATGCGAGTGACGGTGACCGAGGGCTGCCGCCTTTATTGGACCTGTTAGGTTGTGCCCGAAGGGGACACCCAGTGCACGGCCACGGAGTTGGAGGGTGGCGAAATTGGGACTGGCATTTTTAAAGGCTTAAATGCATAAAATGCAAAGAAAAAAAAGGGCTCAGGGCATCACGCAGCAGCATGCTCCCCTCCGCACCGGGGCAAGGTGACAGCGGGGTGCGGGGGGGGGGCCAGTTCTGGGCCTGGTACATCTGGCCGGCCC